GGCCTGGTCGAGAACCGGGCCGCGGGAACGCTAAGCCCCGAAACCATCTCAAGATAACCTCAAGATGTGTAAGTATTCACCTAGATGTGTTTGCGGGGGTTGAGCTCTGGCTCTTTGGTCCCGCCTCTCAACTGTCAATCAACTGGTGTACAGGTTCCTGAGCCTACTGGGCTCTATCATATCTACACTTGAAACTGTGTATGGAGTCAGCCTCCACCACATCACTGCCTAATGCATCCCGCCTGTTAACTACTCTGACACTGAAAAAGTTCGTTTCAATGTGTATGTGTGTGAGCGTTGGTGGGTGTCGACCCGTGACGAGGTGGTGGGCGCCCTCACCTCCAACACCAATTGGGAAAGGTCAAGTAGGAACTTTCTATAGATATCTGGGACACACACACACACACACACACACACACACACACACACACACACACACACACACACACACACAATGAAGATAGGTGTAGGGAGCAGGAGGCCAGATACAAGGTATCATCTGGGAGAGGAAATTCTTCAGGAGTCAGAGAAGGAAAAGACTTGGGGGTTGATATCACGCCAGACCTGTCTCCTGCAGCACATATCAAGCGGATAACATCAGCGGCATATGCCAGGCTGGCCAACATACGAACGGCATTCAGAAACTTGTGTAAAGAATCATTCAGAACTTTGTATACCACATATGTCAGGCCAATCCTGGAGTATGCAGCCCCAGCATGGAGTCCATATCTAGTCAAGGATAAGACTAAACTGGAAAAGGTTCAAAGGTTTGCCACCAGACTAGTACCCGAGCTGAGAGGTATGAGCTACGAGGAGAGACTACGGGAATTAAACCTCACTTCGCTGGAAGACAGAAGAGTTAGGGGGGACATGGTCCAGGATGGACCGAAACGACATCGTCCCTTCACTTTCTAGTGTGTGGTTTGGTCAACATCCTCAAGAATCAGCTCGTAGCAGCTGTCTAACTTCCAGGTACCTATTTACTGCTACGTGAACAGGCCCATCAGGGTCACAGAAAACTCTGCTCATTTGTTTCTGCTTCGACCTGGAATCGAACCCGGGCCCTTAGGACTACGACCCCCGAGCGCTGTCCACTGAGCCGCAAGGCCCCTTCGTATGTTCCGGGTTCGATCCCCGGCGGAGGCGGAAACAAATTGGCAGAATTTCTTTCACCCTGATGCCACTGTTCACCTAGCAGTAAATAGGTACCTGGGAGGTAAGACAGCTGCTACGGGCTGCTTCCTGGGGATGTGTAACAAAAAGGAGGCCTGGTCGAGAACCGGGCCGCGGAAACGCTAAGCCCCGAAACCATCTCAAGATAACCTCAAGATGTGTAAGTATTCACCTAGATGTGTTTGCGGGGGTTGAGCTCCACACACACACACACACACACACACACACACACACACACACACACACACACACAGATGGGATCTCACCATGGGTACTGAAAGAGTGTGCAGAGGCACTTTGCTTGCCACTCTCCATAGTGTATAGTAAATCACTAGAGACGGGAGACCTACCAGAAATATGGAAGACGGCGAATGTGATCCCAATATACAAAAAGGGCGACAGACAAGAGGCACTGAACTACAGGCCAGTGTCCTTGACTTGTATACCATGCAAGGTGATGGAGAGATCGTGAGAAAAAACCTGGTAACACATCTGGAGAGAAGGGACTTCGTGACAAATCGCCAACATGGATTCAGGGAGGGTAAATCTTGCCTTACAGGCTTGATAGAATTCTACGATCAGGTGACACAGATTAAGCAAGAAAGAGAGGGCTGGGCGGACTGCATTTTCTTGGATTGTCGGAAAGCCTTTGACACAGTACCGCATAAGAGGCTGGTACATAAGCTGGAGAGACAGGCAGGTGTAGCTGGTAAGGTGCTCCAGTGGATAAGGGAGTATCTAAGCAATAGGAAACACACACACACCGAGGCGGGACCAAAGAGCCAGAGCTCAACCCCCGCAAGCACAATTAGGTGAGTACACACACACGCACATACACACACATTGGAGTCGGTGGCCGAGCGGACAGCACGCTGGGCACGTGATCCTGTGGTCCCGAGTTCGATCCCTGGCGCCGGCGAGAAACGATGGGCAGAGTTTCTTTCACCCTATACCCATGTTACCTAGCAGTAAATAGGTACCTGGGAGTTAGTCAGCTGTCACGGGCTGCTTCCTGGGGACAATTTCTCCAGATTTGAAAGGGGCTGTCATTGTGCAGCAGTACTCCACTCTAGAGCACTAGCGTTTTGAAAAGTATCGTCCTCGGTATAGCATCTCTAGTTTGAAAAGTTCTTGTCATCCAACCTGTCATTTTTTTTCCAGTTGTGACGGCTACTTTATTGTGTTCTTTAAAGGTAAGGTCTTCCGACATGAGTACACCCAGATCCTTTACATTGCTTTTTCGTTCTATGTTATGATTTGCCTGAGTTTTGTACGTGGTTTCTGTTTTGATATCTTCATTTTTTCCGTAGCGCATGAGCTGGAACTTATCTTCGTTAAATACCATATTATTTTCTGTAGCCCAAAGAAAGACCTGACTTACATCTGATTGGATTGCTTTCCGACCGTCCCTCACGGTCACTTGTCTCTTGATAAAATTCTTGGTGCATCGGATACTTTTGATATCGTTCGCCTTATGCGTTTCTGTTCTCTTATTGGCATCCTTGGTGATATTTAGCGCCCTATGATTGGCCCGCACATTTGATGGTGCTACATAGCCTCCCCGGCTCTGTGCCTTCTTTTGATAATTACTTACTTACATCTGATGGGAGGTTTGCCGTGTCCTCTATGTTGTCTACTCTCATAAAAATTCTAGTGTCATCTGCAAAAGTTGATACAGTGCTATAGGTTGTGTTCTGGTCTATGTCCGATATGAGGATGAGAAAAAGTACTGGAGTAAGCACAGTACCCTGGGGGACTGAGCTCTTCACGGTTGATGGTCCGGATTTTAATTTGTTGACAATTACACATTGGGTTCTGTTAGTTAGGAAATTGTAGATCCATCTGCCTATTTTTCCGGTAATTCCTTTTGAACGCATTTTATGTACAATCGCAACATGGTCACATTTGTCGAAGGCTATTGCGAAATCTGTGTAAATTACATCAGCGTTTTGCTTGTCTTCTATGGCATCTAAGGCGATGTCATAGTACTCACCTAGTTGTGCTTGCGGGGGATGATCTCTAGATCTCTGGTCCCGCCTCTCAACCATCAATCAACTGATGTACAGGTTCAAGCAACTGTGATAGGCAAGAGCTCCCCTGTTCTGAAACCATGTTGTCCGGAGTTATGGAGATGCTGTGATTCCATGTATTTTGTGATCTTACTTCTTAGCACTGTCTCAAAGATTTTTATGATGTGCGAGGTTTGTGCTATCAGTCTGTAATTTTTTGCCTCTGCCTTATTTCCTCTTTTATGAAGTGGTGCTATCTCTGCTGATTTTAGCATGTCAGGGATATCGAAACTATCTCAAAAGAATGTGAAGGGTCTGCAATACTGGTTTGCTACAGTTTTTGATGAATATAGTTCAAAGAATCAGGGCCAGGTGCAGAGTGCATAAGCATACTATGCTGTTTATGGCTTCTTCAAAATCTAGTGGGGATAGGTTGACATCTGATATATGATTTGATGTTGTCATCACATCCATGAAAAATGCATTTGGGTTATTAATCTTTAGTGTGTTTAATGGCTCACGGATGGAGCCATAAAAGACACTTAATGGATAATGGATGAAAAGAAAGTCATATTGATTCCTCAGTATTTCGCTCATTACTTTGTTGTCATCTGTGAAAGTTCCATTTCTCTGCCGCAGGGCCCGATACTAGATGTGGGTCTTAATCTTGATTTTACATAGAACAAATATTTCGGATTTCTCTCTATTTCACTGATGGTCTTTTGTTCTCTTTGCCTCTCCTGGGTTTTGTATGATTCTTATAGGCTTGAGTTCGATTGTTTCTATTTCTCTACCTAACCACCTTCGCCGTTCTTGAGATAGGGTGCGACTCTCAAGTTGTTCCGCTATTCGTTTTCTTCGCCTATATAGGGAACGACGTTCCCGTGCCAATCTGCATCTCTTCCTCTTTTTTTCTTAGGGGTATGCGGTTTGAGCATATTTCTAGTGCTACTGAGCTTATTTTTTCCAGGCACTGGTTCAGGTTTGCATTTTCTAGCTGTTCTTCCCAGCTTATTTCTGTGAGGTCTTGGTTTATTTGATCCCAGTTTATCTGTTTATTATTGAAGTTGAATTTGCTGAAATCTCCTCTACCGGGAATAGGAACTGGTTTTGAAGGTCTATTCCCCCATGCTTTTCAGAACTTCAATTAAGTTGTGATCTAAGTAACAGGTATTTGTAATCATTATGTTCCTGATCAATTCATCATTTTTGGTGAAAATGAGGTCCAGCGTGTTCTCCTTCCTAGTTGGTTCTGCTATTTGCTGGTTTAAGGCAAACCTATCGCACATCCGTAGCAGGACCTTTGCATGTGACTGTTCATTTAGGCTACTTCCCGGTATTCTTTCTCATATTAGCTTGGGTTTTCCATTTCAAGTGCCGTAGGTTGAAGTCCCCAAGTAGGATGATGTTCGGGGTTGGATTTGAGAGGTTTTCTAAGCAGTGTTCTATTTTCAATAGTTGGGAGGGAGTGAGGGAAGGTGATGTAGGGAGAGGGAGGGCCAGGTTAGGGAGAGACAGGTGAAGAAGGGCAGGGAGGGAGGGGGAGAGGGATGGGGGGAGAGAGGGAGGGGGGAAGAGAGAGGGAGGGATGGAGAGGAAGGGAGTTAAGGAGAGGGAGTGACAGGTAACTTAGAAAAAGAGTGTTCACATTACTCTCCAAGGCTCCAGCTAGCTGAAGGGGGGGATGCCAATTATGTATATAATACAATATCTCGTAACAAATACCCTTTAGGTAAAAGTCTCAATAATAATAATAATAATAATAATAATAATAATAATAATAATAATAATAATAAGAGCAACAAGTAAAGGTCTTACCTGTTGTGTAGCAATGCTTGAGTTAGGGTTGTGAGATAAGAGGCAGCTGTTGACCGCACTGATAACCCTGCAATGATAACATATATGTATTTACTCCACTGGGGTTATCATAATAGAAATTTGCATAATGCATCGTGTGATTATACGAAATTAACACTCTAAATTTGTCATATTAAATCATACTTGACAAAATTAAAAAATACACATAAAAAAATGTGTGGCCACGTCTGTGGTAGAAAATAATAATAATAATAAAAAAATTAATTTTTTTGCTAAACTTGTACAATGTTGTTTGGAGAGGAGACACGAGACGTCACCCCTGACGTCACTCCAGGGCACGCCTGGAGTGGTCTAGGAGTAGCGACGCTCAATTATCTCATGGTATTTCAATCCCCCCCCCTCCCCTGTCCCCTCCCCTTGATCTATTGACTACAAAAACAGTTGTAACAACATCAACCAGGGAGCCATCCGGCACAGGGGCTCAGCCAGGGACCGGATTCATCATCCAGGGAGCCATCCGGCGCAGGGGCTCAGCCAGGGGCCGCATTCATCATCCAAGGAGCCATCCGGCGCAAGGACTCAGCCAGGGGCCGCATTCATCATCCAGGGAGCCATCCGGCGCAGGGGCTCAGCCAGGGGCCGCATTCATCATCCAAGGAGCCATCCGGCGCAAGGACTCAGCCAGGGGCCGCATTCATCATCCAGGGAGCCATCCGGCGCAAGGACTCAGCCAGGGGCCGCATTCATCATCCAGGGAGCCATCCGGCGCAGGGACTCAGCCAGGGGGCCGCATTCATCAAGTAGTTACGGAAGTACTTACGAAAATTCTCGGTCTTATCGCCCTCAAGGCGGTTACGTCACGATTCTGTACAAAGTAACGCCTGGTGACGGAGGGTACGACACCTGCAGGGGCCACGCCCACAAGGCAAGTGTTCTCCACTATATATCCTTACACAAGCACCAACTCCAGACGCCTTCGTCGCCAGATAATGATTCTGTCGGAGCCGCCTCCTTGTAATAACCCCACCTGGTATTCCCCTGCCCACTCAATACCCCAGCGTAACACTGCTCGCAGATCACTCTCACCCTCACTCAACTACCAGCTAATATTAAAACTGATATATTAAATGAGGGGAGAAGCAGCAATGATGGTTTATTATTTATTAAATAATGAATAAAAACTTAATTGTACACTGTCACCACCTTCCTGACCAGAACCTGAGTGTGTCTATTACTGATCTCCCAGGCAGGACAGAAATCAATAATCATGAACTCAAGGGCATAAGAACCTTGGCAATAATGCTTAGGGATTAAAATGTAAATCTTTACTTTACTTTTTGAGGATTCAAGGGTAAGTCTAATATCCATGAAATGGAGAACACAGATGGGAGTTCTAGCACAGCACATGAACACATGTGAAAATGACTCAGCATTAATAACAAAAGGAGGAACAGAATAACTAAACCACAAAAGACATTAATAAATACTTTATTTAGAAATGACATGTATATTTATTTCAAATTGAAATATATCCTACTCTAAATATTCCTAAGAGGCAATTATAATCGGAGTGCAATTACTCTGATGTACCAAAACTCAGACAGACATTACATTATCCTCCAAACTGGCCCCAGATGTTGAATGGTTGCGCTCCAGGTCATAGACCTGTACACCAGTCAAGCCCAAGACACACTGACTACAGTGTCCTTTGACTACCCCAGGGGGGCCTATGGTTCCCCTCACTAACCTCCCCTAGACCTTAACTAACCTCCCCATAGACCTTAACTAACCTCCCCATAGACCTTAACTAACCTCCCCCTAGACCTTAACTAACCTCCCCATAGACCTTAACTAACCTCCCCATAGACCTTAACTAACCTCCCCATAGACCTTAACTAACCTCCCCATAGACCTTAACTAACCTCCCCATAGACCTTAACTAACCTCCCCATAGACCTTAACTAATCTTCCCTACTCAAATATTGAGGTTGACTCTAATAGGAGGCCATTCCTGAACTTAACTTTATTTCTTGATTCTGCCTTAAGGCCTTGTATGTTTGCAAATATGAATGATTTTCCATATTGTGTGTCACTTCTGGAAGGTTTTGGTAGTTCTCTTCTGGTGTGTGTGTGTGGGCGTGAGTGTGGGCGTGAGTGTGTGTGTGGGCGTGAGTGTGTGTGTGGGCGTGAGTGTGGGCGTGACTGTGTGTGTGGGCGTGAGTGTGGGCGTGAGTGTGGGCGTGAGTGTGTGTGTGGGCGTGAGTGTGTGTGTGGGCGTGAGTGTGTGTGTGGGCGTGAGTGTGTGTGTGGGCGTGAGTGTGGGCGTGAGTGTGGGCGTGAGTGTGTGTGTGTGGGCGTGACTGTGTGTGTGGGCGTGAGTGTGGGCGTGGGTAGTATGCGGGGGTGTGAGTGTGGGCGTAAGTGTGGGTAGTATGCGGGGTGTGTGTGTGTGTGGGCGTGGGCATGAGTGTGGGTAGTATGCGGGGTGTGTGTGTGTGTGGGCGTGAGTGTGGGTAGTATGCGGTGTGTGTGTGTGTGTGTGTGAGTGTGGGCGTGAGTGTGGGTAGTATGCAGGGTGTGGGCGTGACTGAGGGATGTGAGTGTGGGCGTGACTGCGGGGGGGGGGGCGTAAATACAGCGTGACATCAGGGGTTAAGGGTTCAGGGAAGACCACCGCCCTCCTCTGTCTGGGTCTGCTCTACCTCAAGCCCGCCGGGGTCACAAGTTACCTTCAAAGGTCAAGGGCCGCCAGGGTCACAAGTTACCTTCAAAGGTCAAGGCCGCCAGGATCACATGTTACCTTCAAAGGTCAAGGCCGCCAGGGTCACAAGTTACCTTCAAAGGTCAAGGCCGCCAGGGTCACAAGTTACCTTCAAAGGTCAAGGCCGCCAGGATCACATGTTACCTTCAAAGGTCAAGGCCGCCAGGGTCACATGTTACCTTCAAAAGTCAAGGCCGCCAGGGTCACAAGTCCCCTTCAAAGGTCAAGGCCGCCAGGGTCACAAGTTACCTTCAAAGGTCAAGTCCGCCAGGGTCACAAGTCCCCTTCAAAGGTCAAGGCCGCTGGGGTCACAAGTCACCTTCAAAGGTCAAGGCCGCCAGGGTCACAAGTCCCCTTCAAAGGTCAAGGCCGCCAGGGTCACAAGTCCCCTTCAAAGGTCAAGGCCGCCAGGGTCACAAGTTACCTTCAAAGGTCAAGTCCGCCAGGGTCACAAGTCACCTTCAAAGGTCAAGGCCGCCAGGGTCACAAGTCCCCTTCAAAGGTCAAGTCCGCCAGGGTCACAAGTCCCCTTCAAAGGTCAAGGCCGCTGGGGTCACAAGTCACCTTCAAAGGTCAAGGCCGCCAGGGTCACAAGTCCTCTTCCACGGTCAAGGCCGCCGGGGTCACAAGTCACCTTCAAAGGTCAAGGCCGCCAGGGTCACAAGTCCTCTTCCAAGGTCAAGGCCGCCAGGGTCACAAGTCCTCTTCCAAGGTCAAGGCCGCCAGGGTCACAAGTCACCTTCCAAGGTCAAGGCCGCCAGGGTCACAAGTCACCTTCCAAGGTCAAGGCCGCCAGGGTCACAAGTCCTCTTCCACGGTCAAGGCCGCCGGGGTCACAAGTCACCTTCAAAGGTCAAGGCCGCCAGGGTCACAAGTCCTCTTCCAAGCTCAAGGCCGCCAGGGTCACAAGTCACCTTCCAAGGTCAAGGCCGCCGGGTCACTGTAACACCGTAAAGGTGTTTGGTTTAGTTTTATTATATATATATATATATATATATATATATATATATATATATATATATATATATATATATATATATATATATATATATATATATACATATAGTACATGAGTCAAGCCAGACAAGATTTGAGAGGCGCCATTGTGTCGGCCTGAAAGTCACACCTCTAGAGTGTTAATGGTCACCAAGTGCCAAGGTCAGGTCGCGTGAAGTTGACTTTGTTTCTGCTAAGCTCATAATTGTAGCCGGGTGGCCGGGTGGGTCCTTCAAACAAGCTGCAGGGTAAGGTGTGGCTTGGTAGATGGCCTGGGGCTGTCTACTAGTGGGCGGAGTTAGCTAGTTAGTCCCCAATAAATACCAGGGAGTTGTAGATTCGAGGTTAGGAGGACAGAGATAGCACAGCAGAGCAGGGCAGAGGACAACAGCCCAGATAGGCTGTCTGCCGGACGGGAGGTGACTCTGTCTGCCAACTAGAGAGACCATTCCCCCCCCCCCCTCTCTACTGAACTTAGGCTTAGTCCTCGGTGAGTGAACATTAAGGTGACTTAGTCGTGGTTACAAGTGTTATGTGATGATGAGGGGCAGACAGCTGTAGTGGTCTCAAATTCTTGGGTAATGACTCACTCTGTATATTAATAGTGAACCTTCAGTTTGATTGCTTGAATTAAGATCTCTATCCTGATAAATATACTTGATGAATTATTGAGAAATATATACTTGATTTACTTGTAATCTGCTTTTAATTGTTCCTAGATCTGGGATTTTTGGATACAATATGCAAACTAGAGCGTAGAGAACTCTTGAGACTATGGAATTAAAGAATCTTACATGGAACATGATTCCAGTTGACACATGCTAACAACATCTTTGATATACAGACAAGTTCCATTCCTTGTCTTGTATGTACCGACTAGAATGGATGGTGGCAGCACTTCTGCTTTTACTATTTACTTTTCTACTTCTACCTATCTACCCTTCTACCTTCTACTCACTTCCTACTCCTCTCCTCTCCCTCCGCCTCTCTCCCCCTTTCCCTTTCACCTGACGACCCTCCTTACCCCTCCCTCCTCTCTACCTCCCCCACCCCAAACCCTCACTCATTACTTCATTATTCATCTCTTTCCTTTCGTTTCTCTTATACGTTTGTGGTAGTGAAATGGTCTAGAGTTCTCTAGAGTTGAGGGTAGCCGATCAGGTACAATACCTTGAGGATGTAGCACCTAGGTAATCAAATACCTAGGTTACAAGGGGTTGAACTAGAGAGGTTGCAGTAGAAACTCTGGGGGAATTCTAGAAATAGTTAACTGGGGGCGGAATAATGGACAAAAGAGAGCTATTTCTTTTCTTGAGCTCACCTTCATCTTTTTCTTGAGCTAGCCTCATGGTAAGGTACTTGTCATTGTGCAGCAGTATTCCACTCTAGAGAGCACTTGCGTCTTGAAAAGTATCATCATCGGTATAGCATGAATCGGTATGAATTGATCAGAAACATAATGATTACAAATACCTGTTACTCAGATCACAACTTAATTGAAGTTCTGAGAAGTAAGGGGAGTAGACCTGCACAACCTGTCGCAAGCCCCAGGGGAGGAGAATTCAGCAAATTTAATTTCAATAATAAACAGATAAACTGGGAGCAAATAAACCAAGACCTCACAGAAATAAGCTGGAAAGAACAGTTAGAAAATGCAAACCTGAACCAGTGCCTGGAAAAAATAAGCTCAGTAGCACTAGAAATATGCTCAAACCGCATACCCCTAGGAAAAAAAGAGGAAGAGATGCATATTGGCACGGGAACGTCGTTCCCTATATAGGCGAAGAAAACGAATCGTGGAACAACTTTGAGAGTCGCACCCTATCTCAAGAACAGCGAAGAAGGTTAGGTAGAGAAATAGAAACAATTGAACTAAAGCTACAAGAATCATACAAAACCCAGGAGAGGCAAAGAGAGCAAAAGGCCATCAGTGAAATAGGGAGAAATCCGAAATATTTTTTCTCCTATGCAAAATCAAGATCAAAAGCTACATCTAGTATTGGGCCCCTGTGTAAGAGAAATGGAACGTTCACAGATGACAACAAAAAAATGAGCGAAATTCTGAGGAATCAGCACGACTCTGTTTTCAGCGAGTCACTAAACACACTAAAGATTGATAACTCAAATGAATTCTTCATGGATGTGATAGGCCCTTCACATTCTTTGGAGGCAAAGCCTAGATACTGGCGTTTATCCCTGACATACTAAAAACAGCAAAATAGCAACCTCTCCACCATAAAAGAGGAAATAAGGCAGAGGGCAATAAATTACAGACCGATAGCACTAACATCACAAATCATAAAAATCTTTGACGAGAGTGCTAAGAAGTAAGATCACGAAACACATGGAACCACAGCATCTCCATAACCACTATGTTGCTGGACCACTATGACATGGCTTTCGATGGCATGGAAAACAAGCAAAACGCTGATGTAAATTTACACAGATTTCGCAGAAGCTTTCCAAAAATGTGACCATGGTGACCTGCGGGCCGCTCCAAGCAACAGCCTGGTGGGACGGCGCTCTTTACATGTCAAGGCTGGCCTCGGGACCGGGCTTGGGGAGTAGAACTCCCCAGAACCCCATCAAGCAGGCAAGGGGAGGGGAGGGGAAGCAAGAGAGGGGGGCGAGCAGACACATGGCAGTAAGTGAGGGAAGGTGGTCGAGCAGTTAATACATGCAAGTGACGTATGCACTATCTTGGTTGGGGACACGGTTGCCAGGGGAGGAGTGGTGGTGAGAGGGACGGAGTGGTGGGGAAGGGACGGAGAGTGGTGGTGAGAGGGAACGAGTTGTGGGGAGAGGGACGGATTGGGGGTGAGAGGGACGGAGTGGTGGGGAGAGGGACGGAGTGGTGGAAGATTTCTTTCCTTTCGTTTTCACTTATACGTTTGTGGCAATGATTCTGTATTCTAGAGTTCTCTCTAGAGTTTTCGGGTAGCTGATCAAGTGACGGCGCCTTGTAGTCTTAGCACCTAGGTAGTCGAATACCTAGGTTACAAGGTGTTGAACGAGAGAGGCTGCCTTAGGAACTCTGGGAGTGCTCTAGAATAGTTAGCTAACTGGGGACGGGATAACGGACTAGAGAGAGCTGTTTCCCCCGGCCTCGTTAGTTAACTGGGGGTGGAATAATGGACAAGATAGAGCTATTTCCCCCACCCCCCGTTACAATGATGGCAGCGGTGTTGAACAATGTTTAAGGTATTGGTGTTCTTTTAACATTGTTCAGTCCCACGTGTCTTTTTGCCGCTCAGGCGCTATCAGGGAGATCTTGACAGGTGTTTAATATTCGCGAGTTAGCGAACTTTTTTCAGGTTAGGAGATAGTGATTCTCTGGTGTTGTGTTTAGTGATTTTGTGAGTTTTGTGGTGTTCAGGAATGTTCACCAGAACTTGCGTGTGTAGTGATTTATGTTAGTAATAAGATTTGGCGATTTGGGAACTTAGCGGTGTTGGTAGTGCAGGTCAGCTGAGTGTGACAGGTGACCTCGCATGTCCCACGGGGACACCCAGCCACCGCTGGTCTCCAGGTCAGTGGGGAGTGGCAGGTGTAGTTCTTAAGTAGTTTAAGTGTGGTTCTGCTCAGATTATTGCGATCGACTGTTTTACTCCATTTGAACGCAATAACCCGAGGTGTACCGGTATTGTACAGCATGCTAGTGTGGACTAGTGTGTCAGTAGACTTCACGTTGGGGACGCTCGACGTTAGATAGTCTGGTCACAGGGGTGACAACAGTTTGGGAGTTGTTTACCGGCGGAGAAGCTAGGGAAACACTCTGGGTCACGTAGGTGGCTGTAGGTTAAGGGTGGGAGTAATGGTTAATTATGTACTTAAGATTAGGAACGGTACAGTTAAGTTTAGGCTAGTGTTTTGTCTATTAGTGTTGATTTTTTTTTGTGACAAGTTAAAAGTAGTGATGACCTTATTCTCTCTTCTCTAACTTTACTCTGTTACTGTTTTATGTTCCACCAAGTCAATATCATTCAGAGTTAATTGAATTATTAAAAATTGAAGTGTAGTTGTTGCCAGGAGGAGAGCGGTATGATAGGACTGTGTAACCCTATACAAACGACAGGGTCACACAAACATCTTGGGAACACGTATTGTCGCCTTTCTGTTCATTTCACAGGTGGGAGCCAGAAGAGAGGAGAGACGCACATACAGAAGAGGGAGACGGCTGCCTTATACCACACTCACGGCTGTTCCTCACCACCACGACGACCAGCCCCTACCTGGATGTCAGGGCCACCACCACCACCACCACCCCAGGGGACCCCAAGATGCAGCCCTCTCGGTCGGTCAACATTGGTCTACCCAGTGGACCCCAAGACGGACGGACCCCAGTGGACCCCAAGACGGACGGACCCCAGTGGACCCCAAGACGGACGGACCCCCAGTGGACCCCAGGTCGTTCTGCAGACGACCCCAGACGACCCAGTAATGATGGAAGAGGAGCAACAACGACTCCAGTCTGTCCCACCAACATCGGTCTACCCAGGATGGACCCCAGGACGGACAGACCCCCAATGGACCCCAGGTCGCTTGTCAAAGACCCATGGGAGGAGGAAGAGAGAAGAAAGAAGAAAGAAGAGGGAGAAGAAAGAAGAGAGAAGAAAGAAGAGAGAAGAAAGAAGAAGATAAGCCAAGCTGAGACACGATACCTAGTGTCCCTTGCTGGTGTCAGCATTATTGCATGGAGCGTAATTGCAAGACAGGATCGTTTGCCTTGACTGGCCGCCCCTCCTACAAGCATGTTGCTCTGTTGAATGATTCTTCCTGTGTCATGCGGACTTGATGTGGCTGTCAGAAGTAGCTCTCTGAAGGAGGCGTGCTGGAGCAACAGGGAGGAAGAAGAGTAGGATGGGATTTCTACTGTTGGCAACTATATGAAGGTCTCGAAACTTGTAGTCCCTATAGCTGTGAAGAACCCCAATATACGTCTCTCATGGTGACTGACGTAGGGCCAATTACAGATCAGCTGGGACAACCGAATTCCACGGTCCTGTGCACAGTTCAAGTAGTAACGGCTTTCGGGTTGACCAAGTGTTGTTGTGCGTTAACGACGGAGAAGCGACGGAGGCAGTTGTGTTGAAGAAATGTGGTACAGGATTATCTACAAGACCAAGCAGTGACGTCGCCCAGCCAGAGACAATGGACGTCTGTCTATATATTTCATTTTTTAGAGTAGGATGTTGTATATTTGTTTAGCTAGGATGTATTTTTTTTTCGTTAATAAAGTTGTTGCACACAGCTAGCTTGCTTTAGCAGTGTTGCAAAAACTTTATTTCGGGGAGAAGGGAGA